AGACAAAGTATAACCGAACGAAAATGTGAATTTGCACTGCACAATAGTAAAAACCGTGACAAACCTCTTAGGACTTGGCGTAGTTCATTTGGAATTCGCGCCAAATTATTAACCTCGCCTTCTCGTTTTGTAATGAACAGCATTTCGTCTGATTCGTTATTAACAACCTAGAAAATAGCAATATGAACTCTTGTGATAAAAAATATCCAAAAAAGATTATAAATCACATACTCTTGAGAAGATATGTTTGATAAAGGAGTTCAGTTTTTTCTCTTCATTCATGAGGAAAAGCTGTGGGACGAATGTGCGCCAAGTATTGTACTCAGACACAAGATCCAGATCTATAAGAAAAAATGATCCGCATAAGCATAAGAAAGACAAAAGTGCTGTACCTTTGAATCTTGGCCCTGGTGAATTGAAACGATATCGTTGTGAGCTTTTTACTGCCTTGTTGCCAAACAAAGGTTTTTTCGAGCTTGCAGCCAGAGCTGGATGCTCCAGGTTCAAAATCCTAGTTTCCATGTTTTGCACGATATTTTCAAGATGTGTCACCTAAAAATGGTGTCTTCCCACTTGCCTGATCATTTGTTATTCTAGCAAATCTCACCCTCTCCTCTAAAGGCGCTTCAGATGCTATGAGACTGGGATTTGTTTCAGAACTTATAGTGGGCTCATTTTCCCAACTTTCCAATTCTTCGCGAGTTTCTTGTTTTACATGGCTTGTAGAAGAAATTGCTTCTTCTAAGAGTACCGCAGCAGGCACCGAGGATGGACTTGGATGGGAGGAAATAGATTCCGGTTTTTCTGCATCATTACTGCAATACTATTTCTATAAAATAAATAAAAATAAATGCTATGAAGCAATTGATATGAGGATAAACGGCTTAGAGAGCATCACCTACTTTGTTTCAAAATGGTCACTAGCAGAAGAACTTGTCTCTGCTGCTGTACGAGTTTTATCCACATGCATACAGTCACATGAGAACAATTGGCGTAATTCTGTTGCGAAGGTGAATTTCAGCGATTTTTCTGCCTAAACAGCAAAAACAAAAAAACTTATCGCTTTGTGAAAGAATGGAGTTATTTAAAATCCGTTGAAAAATCCTCAACTGATAACTTACACAGAAGTGAATCAAATCCAACAGATTGGAATGTGTGGAGGCTTCCAGTAACACATACGTCACCATCTTGGCACAACCTCTGAACTTTAATCAATCTCCAAACAATGTCATAAACACCGTTACACTGCTGACGCCTTTCCCGCGATAAGCATACTTCAGAAATTTAATAGCAATGTTGTTTATATACACTGA